GATTGCCTCATAATCATATGAAATGCTTGCCTCAACCAAAAAATCTAACAACTCCACTCGGGACCAAACCCTCAACCTTAGACTTACGAAGTAATAACGCTACCTGTAAGCCACCAAGTTGACTTACTTAAAAACATAATAATATTTCAAAAAATTAAACGTTATTGAATGAAACTCATGTCTCGTATATTATACCATAAGTCACTTAATGTTTGTCGCTTAATGTTGTGATTCTGTCATAAGTATATACCCATTTATATAAATTGTAAGTATTTAATAAAGAGTAACTAAGAAATATTTTTTCTTTGTTGACTTAACTAGAGAGAAATTGACTTATAATTTTTTTTATATTACTTGTATAAGTATATACTCGTTGCCACTAACACACACTGGGTTTATTAAATGTTTAAATTACATATGTTTCTTAATTGAACAAATTTAACAACAATAAGTTTCATGAGGCTTTCGCCCCTTTAAATTAATTATAAAATTTTAAATTAGTTTTCGATTAATACTCCATACACCATCATTATAAATGTACAAATATGCATGTAATTTAATGGAGCAACAATACAGAAATTAACTAAAAGCGTAACTTAAATGCCTTTGCTCTACAGCCATTTAAATCATTCAATTCTTGATAAATCTCTATTCTCCGGCATAACCATTCAATTTGATTTCCACTACACATCCCTAAGAATCTTTAACTCAAAAGCGAATGTTCAATTCCAATTGTGCGAAATAGAATTTCAACCCAACTCTGCCCAACTTCTAATCCCCATCGCCCCCCCCAAATCAATAATCAAAATGCATTAATAGGGCGCGCAATGTTCGCGGATATGTCGTAATCACGCCGAACTTAATTCCCGAAATTATTTTAGCCTTTTGATAAAGATCGAAGCAATTTTCGTCGGTTCTCGCATTTAATCGGGGAAATTCGGACGTTTATCAGAGTTCTAAACCTAACAAAGACGGAACGAACCGAAATCTTCGAGGCTGTTAAATCCCGTTTGTCAATTGGAAGTGTCCACCAAGAGGGAGTAAAGCGATATATTTAATTTAAATCTCAAACGTGTCCAGTGAAGGGATAGCCACTCTGCAATTACGACTGGAGGGCTGGCGACAGATGGCCACAGATTCGAATCTTCGCCCTCCGCACCCCCTAAAAATCGTCTGTCGAATGAAAAGAGCATAAGGGAAGCAATGGGACCAGAGGGGTGGGGGAGGATTTATAACTGCATGCCCGGTTTAATCGGAATCGACTGAGAAACAAACTTTCGACGGGGCGAAAGGGACATTTGGTGGATCCACTGGACTGAAAACAATGTGGCAGGAATGTGTTTGTGTTTCCTTTTCGGACAACATTGGCGATATGATTTTTCAGAACTTTACTGACGGTTTGATGTGAAGGAAAAGTATACTTTGTATTATTATTCTTGGTGTAGGAATCTGGAACAAAAAGGTTTTTGTTCTTCTGAAATTTGTAAGCTGGTTTTACTGCTTGAATGGAGAGGAAATAAAACCTCCTAAAATCTCATTCTTTGTATGCCAGTGACATAAAATGTTGCTTTGAAATGTTTTGCTCCTGAAAGGTCGACCACAAAGAAAGCGTAAGGATACAAAAGAACCATTTGATATGAATAAAAATGTTTAAACGATATAAAATGTATTGATATTAGTACGTTTACAAACCGCAAAAGTATTGAAGATTCTATTTTTTTAAATTATGAAATAACGGTTCATCTATTTTAAATTATCTTATTATGTTAGGAACTATTTTGGGAGGGAAAAACGTGAGTAAAACAAAATACATGAATGTCGATTATTATTGTTATTATTTAAAATACTTGATTAAATACCATATAATAAGATACTTTTAATAAATTAATAAAACATTAGATATGGTATTTTTAAACCTGATGCTGAAAATTAGTTTATCTAAAAAAATCTTAGATTAAAAAGATAAGCATTTAATAATTAACGCTGAATTTATGAATATAGATTTTTCCAATTAATGACCAGAACTACGTTTTTCATTGCATTTGAAGCCCTTGCAGATCAGAAAAGATAGCACTAGAATCTTTATCAAAATTTATTGTTATGTCAATTTAAAATTGGATATAAACTTAGAAACTTCTTGGAAAAAATTTGACTGAGCCCATTATTTATTTATTAATATTATTATTATTGAAGTCGAGTGGCCGAGCGGCAACTCGGAGCTCACATCCCCGGGCGGGGCTAAATGGACTCAGCCTTTAATCCCTTCAGTGGGTCGGTAAATGAGTACCAAGCTGGCTTGGGAACTAAACACTGAGGGTTTTCGAGTCAGACTGACCACCTGACCGGAACATCTGCTCATGCACCTCAGTTCCCAAGGTAATGAATACTGAGATGGGTGCAATAGGCCTTAGCCTTCTCACTGAATTTAATTTTTTGTTTTTCTTGTCGCTTTCTTCAGTCACACGAATACTATTGACGACGGATTAGTTTACTTTGAACTTCTTTTAAATGACTATGATGACACCTGAGCTGGCATTTTCCCTCCAAACTTCTACATCACGCCTACATGAATACTTTTAGCCATGATAGATTCTCTACACGTCAGACCTTCAATGTCACCAGGTCTCGAAACTCACGATTGGCCAGTCGTGAGTTCGTGACCATGACCACTCGGCTACTATATGTGTGGGAGGCCATCTCGTCTCTTCAAAAACCATGTAACTATTTATTCAACAAAAAAACTTTAACCCTTTATCTACCGACGGTACTTATAAGTACCACTCACCTTAAAATTACGTAGAATAAACATTTTTACGAATATTCTCGAATATTCTGACGGTACTTAGCAGGAATATTCTATTGAAATCCGCTCTTCCAAGGTATATGGCAGCACGGGTTCTATAATGAGTATTTTAGCGGTAAAAGCGAATAGTTTTATAGCAGGAATGGCGTTTTCAGTTGACGGTGTTTTCAGTGGATTGCAAAGATTATAATTTTGGTCCCGAAAAAATAGTTAATGTCAAAATTTAAGTGTCTTATTTTTTTGTATGTTAATGAAGACCTAGGAAACGATTTGTCTATTTATTTTAAGTCGGCAGTGCATATAATTAATTTTAAAGTTGAATATCTTTGAATTAATTAATTAGTTTTACGAATTAAATTTCCGAAAGTCGAGTATTTTGTTTATGTATATCCCTTAATTTTCAATGTAGTGATTAAAAAAAATGCATGAAAATAACTGTAGTAAATCATAATGCGGAAGATAAAAGGTTAAGTGAAAAAATTGTAGTGAATAATGAAATCTATTATTATATTAAAATATATTTACTGTCTATATAATTTCAAATGTGTAAAGTTTATTTTGCATTTACTAAAACATTAAAATAAAAATATAATAAAAGTATTATAAATAATTCAATCTAATCATTAAACACATATTGTTACTTTAGTCATATCAAGTGAAAAGTGTTTAAATATCTTGATAATTTTTTTTAAATAAGCTTTTATCTAAGTACTTATTTTTTAGTCCTAAATCAAATTATTCACAACCTTAGAATAGTAGAAGAAAAATACTCGTTTTTAGTTAAAGTATTGAATCGTATTTCTGTTCTGATTTGACTGCATAATAGAAAGTATTTCAAACATACTTAAATAAATATTTGTTTATTTTTTACACTAAGCAAATAGATTTATTTTATTGACCTACAATTTATTACACACAATGGTCTTTGAGCACTCAATATTATTTAAAAGTTAGCTGAATATTTGTTTGGTCAATTCACATATATGCACGTTTTAAAATATTTCATCATATTTCCTTCTAAAAATACGGAGTTATTTTACTGTAATAAATAACAATATTCCTTCAAAACTCTCAATTAAATATGGAGTACCATGCGATAGTCCAAACTGCCTGAAATTATGTAACGAAAATTTTCATTTCTTCACAGTAAGTCGATTATTGCTGTTCAATTTTTTATTTGTTTCTTTATTTGGTAGTTTGCATTCAATTATTTTTTCCCTTTAGTGTTTAGATAAAATTGTATTTTTATTATCAACTATATTTTATTTGAGTGTTCACTGATGTGTTTACACTTTATTTCTTTTAAAATTTTATTAATATGTATTTTGTGTGAAAAAAATTATTTTCTGTCGTATCATAGGCCAATGCCAATGACTAAATATTTATCCTTTGCGCAATAGCAATATGTTTGTTTCGAAATTTGTTTGTATAGAAAGAATCTATGAAATTCAAAGGAGTTGCTATTTGTCGTGCATTTGTAGGTGTTCACCGCATATCAAACTGCTCGCACCTTTCTTAGAAAAATAAAATTGTATTCTTTTAATTCAGAGAGTTTTTAGCCCTGTGTCGAAATCATTTAGCATGTGATTTTGCTTTCGAGTATGTTTAGAAAACGCTAATATATTCACGCACGCACACACACACACATACACAAGTTTATTTGTGTTTAAAGTTCCGTTAGGGCTAGATTAGAATTCATCCGCTAACGAAATTAACATGTTTAGAAGTATATAGGTATTGGTAGTAGAAAATAAAAATTAATGAAATTATTCATAGGTACACAGTAAATTTAATTAATGATTTTTGAATTGCTAAAATAAAGCTAAACTAAACAAAATGAAACTACAGACAAATTTAAAAGTGTTGAGGGACATCTAGTAATTATTACGTGTGCGAGGCTTCAAAAAATACTTCGGTAGATGAAATATTTCAAATACTCTATTTTTTCAATTCCTACTATTAGTTCACTCTCTCCCTTATATCTTTATATATATACATCTTTTTCAAATTTTCAATCATTAATAAAATACTTTCTTTTCATCCATTCAAGTTCAAATGCATTTTTTAAAACTTGCACTTGATGTTAATACAGTTTTTTCAAATATTAATTCATTAATTCAATTAAAAAAATGAATAAATAATAACAAACTAAAATAATAGTCCAACACCATAAGTAAAAGGGAAAATTGTTTCCTGTGTCCCTGCAGCGCAATGGATAACGCGTTGGACCTCTAATCCAAAGGGCATGGATTCGAATTCTACCTGGGATGGCCTAATATCTGAGAATGTGATTCTTTTTACTATGCTATTTTATTGGAATAATTAAATTTAATTAATAAATAAATAAATAACAAACAAAAATAATAGTCCAACGCCATATTTAAAAAGGAAAATTTTGACAAATTTTTCCACTTAATAATGTGATTCTTTCATGTGTATTAACATATTTATAATAGTTGTAATTATGGTTTCAACAAAGAAAAGAAACAGTTCTTTAATAAAATGTGTGCGTAATTTTGAGCCATGGTCAAGCGACAAGGACGACACCTGAGTGGCACCGACCTCTCTCCTAACTACCACACCAATGGGAGGATGTTTGAGCAACGACAGATTTAACGTGCATCGCTCCCCTGCATGGCGGATCTTCATTGGTACTGACTAGAACTCATGAATCGCCAGTCACGAATCCGTTACCTCTACCACCAGGCTATCGCAATCACTTAAAATATGCAGCAGAAAGTTTTGCGGAGGAGCTTAATTAAAAGAAAATTATACAGAAGAAAGCTACAAATTGCGTAAAAATACATTATAATAAAAAACTGAAAAGAATTACATTATCATATAAAAAATATATGAAAACAGAAGATAAGTTTTATTGGATTATTGGAGAACTCGCGTACTTCTCTCTCAATGTAAAATTAGATATAATCAGTTATATGCCACTGATTGCTAAAAAAATTTTCAAAATTTATTGTTTATTTTTAAAAAGCATACTCTTTTTTTTTTCTTTTGTTTAGTGCGAAGAACAAAGAAATTTTCCACTGCAAACGTCATATTGTTAAGGTATCCAACTACGTTCGGAACCGTGATTTTGTAAAAACCTATAGATGATAATATTTATGATATTTAGTGTGTCACTTAGATTAGAAAACGTATTTAAAATTGTTTCAAAAATATTATTAAAATAAAAAAAAATTTTGAGTACAATATTTTGACAAAAAAATTAACATAGAATTATCAATTTTCAAAACATTCTTTTTTAAAAAAAATACTTCTATTATAATAATATTTTGCCTGTATATAGCTTAGACCTCTGTACAGATGCTGAACTAGAATTTTTGAAATATATAACTTAGAAGTGGATTTATCCATATTTTACTACAACAGAGGAGAGAAATTTTAAGAAAAAAAACGCCTATAATTATTTTAATTGATGGTAACTTTGAAAATAATGTGAATTTTTCAAAAGTCCTAGTTTCGACTCTCTGTAGAGATGTCTTTACTTTTTTTATATAAACAGAATATTATTATTATAGAAGCATTTTTTATAAAAGAAAAACGATTTGAAAGTAATTCATTCTAAGTTAATTTTTTGCCAAAATATTGTATTTAAATAATTTTTTATTGGAAAAATACTCTTAAAAGAATTTTATACATGCATTTTAATCTAAATGACACTAAATATATCATGACAATTATCCAATTATGTGCTTTTTTAAAATTACAGTTCCGAACGTAGTCGGTTACATTAATGCTTTTCATGTGGCATAACTTCATTTATAGATCTCGACAGATTTTACGTGCACCTTTAGTGGTACTGCGCTCGAACTCGTGACATGCAAGCCATGTTCTGATACCTTGACCACTAGGCTACCCTGGCCATACTTTTACAATGTATTATTCGAAATAAACTAACATTTCTATGAATATTGATTTTCTTGCGGCCCAACTTAAGTTAAACCTTACTCATTTGGCCCAAGTTAGCGTTTGAGTTTGACACTCTTATTGTAGAAGATGACACTTGATGTTGATACAGATTTTTCAAATATTAATTCATTTAATTATATTTTATCTTTTAATTTTAAATTTATTCTACGGTATTTCATACGAAGTTAGAACTAGCCCCAACAGATGGCGCCAGTACGTTTTTCTAACAAACTTCGTGTTGATACAGTTTTTTCAAACATTTATTCAATAATTAAATTAATTAACTAAAATAAAAAAATTTTTACTTAAGTAGGAAATATCTTGAAGTTTTTTTTAACATTACTTGTTTTCTAGCAACTTAAATTTACATTAATGCAATGCTCTAAAGAATTAAATATGTCGCAGAAAATGAACGAAGAGAGATTTGATGACAATTCAAAGAAATGCCTAAACTGTTTCAAAGGGGATTGACGATCTTAAGGAACTGATGACAATCCAGGTACTGCTCATTTTTTATGATCTTCTAATGGGAATACATTTAATTAAAAATTGTAATGCATTACCAGACTTACAAAAAATAATCATAAAGACATATTTTTTAAAAATATTTCTTAATTTAATAATTCTCAATTGACTCCTTATTTTCAAAAACCTCTTATTATTCTAAGGACACATAAGAAGAGAGGCTTCTAACAAGGGAAATGTATGTACAGCAACTGAGGAAGATCTAATGTTGCTAATTACATCATGTTCTGGATATTAACTGAGGTAACATTACTCTCAAGTATTGAATATTTAACACCCCTGAAAGATTTTCAGTATCCATGTTACTAAATATATTCTTGTTGTTCAAAGACTGAGTATCTCCCATAGCAAAAGCTTAGAGGAATATTTAATTAAAAGGAGTATAGTCAAGCGACTCGTCAAGCCCAGTTGGGAAAGACCTTTCCTTATTTTGAAATACACACATAACAACTATCTTCTAATTAATTTCAATTACATTTATCCGATTGCTTTGGGAGATGTTTATTTTAATACAGACTTTAATGTGAAGTAACACGATTAGGGAATTAAGTCCTTATAAAATTATATGGAAGATGATTAAATGAATTAGTTAGATAAACTCATTTTAATTTTGCAATTAAGTCTCACTCTTTGGAAAGGAAATTGAAGTTCTTTACAGTGAGATTTGTTTCTACAATACGCGAATCTCAGCATTGAGATATTCGCTTCTTTTCTTAATTTACTACTATGATATTTCGTCCTTAATCACTAATTCCACAATACCTCTCATCCGTAACAAAATTTACATTTTAAAAGCTTTGAAATGTGTGGGTGTGTTATGTTTTCTTTCCGTAATTTATAGCACAATTATTTCCCAATTTTTCATTCAATCGCTATTGAATTACCAGATTCAAAGAAACGATATTAGATTTGAAATTAAAAATATATTTATGTAAGTGATTTTAAGGAATAAAATTTTAAAATCTTTCATGTATATGTTTATATATATATTTATATATACATTACATACACGTACACCACAAATATATATATACACTCAAGAGCCAAAACATTATGACCACCCCCTACATTTTGCAATGAACTCGCCTGGATAATGTGGAAGGCACGTGATCAGGTGGAAGTGGTATTTAACTGCTGCTGGAGAGTCTGAAGAATCATTCTTTCACTTATTTCTGTGTGTGATGGGAAAGGCTGCGGATCTAAGCAACTTTGATAGAGGGCAGATTGTAATGGCTCGAAGGCTCGGAAAAAATATTTCCGAAACTGCACGAGTCGTGGGTTGTTTGCGATCTACAGTTGTTAGTACTTATGCAAAGTGGATGAATGACGGTGAAACCAGCAGTAGACGACATGGTGTTGGACATCCACACGCTATCAAAGAAAAAAGTCATCGGAGACTGTCTCGCATGGTGAAGCAAAATCGGAGCGAGACAGTGGCTTGTAACGTCGTGTATAACTATCCATCAGTAAATAATTCTTTACAGCTTCATATAGAAATAAAAGCAAAGTTATTTGCTAACAATTTGTTAATGAAGTAATATAACTTCAGTCCATATGCCAAGCCGGTGCAGTCAGTCTATTCTGTTCTCAACGCCACCGGCGTTCATCGTCTTTCCACTCCAATCTCCGGACTCCGCCCTTATCTCCATACAAGGCGGGCTCCTCTCTCTCTCTACGACTCCTTTCTTCTCTTTTTCCGTCTCCTACTCTCTCTCTCTCCTTTTCTGTCTCCTCCTCCCGACTCTCTTTCCGTCTCCTCTCTCTTCTCTTTCCGTCTCCTCTCCCTTCTCTTTCCGTCTCTCTCTCCCGTCCTCTTTTTTATCTTCTCCTGAAAAAGAACCCCTTTTAAACACCAGGGGTGTGTTCACAACACGCCCCTCGTTCCTTCTTATTGGCAGGTCACAAAAATCTCTCTTGACCTCCCTCGTCCTATTTGCTCATAACACGCCAAAACACACCCGAGCCGTCTGGCCCAAGGCGCCATAGTTCCTTGTCCAACATATGGACACACTTGTCCATCACGCCACCTGTTCCTAGTATCCCCTTCACTCAACATCAGAAAAACGACAGGATTATTTTAAGATAGGCTTCGCCTATTGTCAATGGGGCGCCGAACTCTTATGTCCATTATGATTTTCAGACAGAGTGTCGTCATGGATCCGAGAACAAACAATAAACAATGACCCTTAGCCACGTGCACTGGTCATTTTACAGCTGGTGGATCGTAAAAATTCAGGGACAATCGATGGGTGTGGTACTTGTCCTTGAACAGCTGGCAAAACCATAAAACCTATCGTGAATCGAAAGATGGGAATTCACAACCATCGACGATGTCACAGGCTCAATTGACAGCCCAATGCAATGCAGGACCAAGTAGAATAGTATCGGAGCACAATGTTCAGCGGACACTGTAGGATATGGGGCTACACAGCAAACGCCCACTCATGTGCCTTTGCTGACCAAGTGTCATCGCCAACTGCGCCTGCGTTTAGCCCGGGAACATCAAGACTGGCCCATGGATCAGTGGAAGAGAGTTGCCTTGTCAGATGAATCCCGGTTTTTGTCATTCATCCCGCTGATGGTCGTATCAGGATACGCCATCTTCCAGGCAAATAGTTGCTCCCTCAATGTACAGTAGATCATACACAGGCCGGTGGTGGCAGTATTATAATTTGGGGGACGTTCTCTTGGGCGTTTCTGGGACCCGTGGTTGTGGTAGAGCAGACCATGAATGCTATAGGGTATCTGAACATCATTGCAGACCAGTTGCACCCTTACATGGCCTCTGTTGTTCCAACAGTACCCTCTCATGTTCCAA